GATAACAGGAGGTGATGAGGTGGGCACTGACAGGACCTCAGTAGAAGACAAGGTGGATGCCTGGGTGATAACAGGAGGTGATGAGGTGGGCACTGGACAGCTGGGGACAGTGAGGCGGGTCTTGGCTGGATGTCAGGGGACAGGGATGGATCTGATGGGTCAGTGATAAATGAGCCGAGTGAAGCTGGGACACCTGCAGGTGAGCAAGGTGCAGCCAGGAGGACAGGAGGCAAACAGGACAGAACCAGGACAATTGGAGGATGAGTGAAGGGACCCTCTTTGGGCTGGGAGCCTAGATCATGAGTGAAGTGGTCCTCTCTGGGCCAGGGGTTTGGAGTGGGGCAGTGGTCTCTCCTGGGCCGGGTACGGCAACCCCGTCAACCCCCTAAACTAAAGCACTTGGGGTATCTGATCTGTGGAATGCAGGGAGGCATGGAAACTGGAGCAGGCGGACAGGCTCCTGAGGTTGTTTGGGAGATCTGTCACTCTGTCATGTGTGCCGGGACAAAAGACACAGAGAGCAGGTGAGGTGGAGCAACCCAAAGAGATTTATTTAAAAAGACTGATAAACAGAAGGCAGCTGAGTGTGAGCAACACAAGGGCAGGAACTAGAGGCAAGAAATAAGCACCAGGTGTGGCTTGCTAGGGTCACGCTATGGAGAAAACTGGAAGGTCAGATGGGCAGTAACAAGTGTTAAGTATTTAGATTACGCTACTAAGCATAGATAATGTAACGGAATGTACTACAAATTACATTTTAGAGCATGTATTCAGTAAACTGTAATTGAATACATTACAAAAGTAAACTGGCCAACACTGCACACAGCTTCTGTAACAGATAACAGCAAAGTGTGTCAGTAGTGCAGTATATTTAATATGCAAGAAAAACATGAATTGAAATCAAATCTGTTTGCATAATAATGCAAACAATACAATTTCAGATGGGGAATTTCTCTTGTGCAAAAAGCAGTTATATTGCTTTCTAGATGAAGCAGACCATAAAGAACACTAAGAATGGTAGTGAACCTGTCAGAGAGCCTCAAGAAGCCTGAACATGGAGGATTCAGAAGCAGGGGTCCCAGGCCTCAGCAGCTAAAGCCTGTCTCCAATCTCCTGATGCCATCGGGAGACTCGCTCATCCAGCACTGGAACATGAGGGAAAAGGCAGGTCCCTCCTAGTGGCCAGCAAGTCAGTAATGCAAAGACAGATAATACTGTTCTCATCAGATTTCAGACTTTATTAAAGCTCTACAAAAGGGTTTTGCATATTTTTTTTCAGCATAGTCTTTGGACCTGAGTTGCATAAATGTCTTTGACTTTGACTCATGAACTGCAGGCATCTTGTAGGTTTTTACATTAATTATGGTCAATCAGACTTTTTTTTTTTTACAGTATTTTCACTGGTAAACTGCAGTGGATCAATGTAAAATAGTTAGCCATTTCTGTTATAGCAAAAAGCAGACTAAAGTAAAGGGATTTCTGAGATCATGCATGCATTAAAAAGAAACTATTGGTCATTACATCTAAACATTTATCCTGTTCAGGGTCACAGGGGGGCCTGGAACTTATCCTAGGCAGCAGTGGGCATGGGGCTGGGGGACATAGATGAAGAGCCTTATAATGTATTGGAAATTTAGAGATACTGATTAGCCTAAAGGAATATTTTGGACTTTGGGAGGAAACTACACAACACCGGGAAAAAATGCAAACTCTATGCAACATTTGCTAGGTAGCATATGGCACAAGGCTGGGTGCATCCTAGATCGGACACCAGTCCCTCACAGGGAACATTCATGCACAAGCTCATAATCTTTAGGTAACTTACAGACACCAGTTCCCCTGAGGGCTTGTTTTGGACTGTGGGAGGAAACCACACAACACAGGGAGAAAATGCAAACTCCACACACAGAGAGCAGAGGACAGATTCTAATCCCCAACCATGGAGGTCTGAGGCGAGTGTGTGACCCCCCCGAACCTCCATGCCACCCTTGGTTATTTCAGTGCAGCAATTTTGCTGTTGAATCTTCTCCATACAATTCTGCGAAGTTGCTTCAGTTTCAGACCATAAATGAGAGGGTTCAGGATAGGAGGAACAATGAGGTACATTATAGAAAGGCTGTTTCTGAGAGCCTGCAGGGAGGTGTCTGAGCTGAAACGTGCTGACANCCAAACATGGGTGTATGTGTCCCTAATGTATACCTCCTGTGTAAGTGTGAGTTAGTGAATGTAGGATGCATCTGTGTCTTGACGCAGCCAGGCCTTATCACTGGAATTTGACTGCGGGGTTCTGGCCGCCCAGTGGGGGTGAGGTGTCCCTTTTGATGTGGTGATCTGGTGATTTGGGTCCAGTCTTGTCGGAGCCGGTGGACCTTTGCACAGAACCCTGGGTGGAACATTACAGGCTTGCCAGAGCTCAGACCGACGGGGCCTGCAAGGCCTCCAGCCTTACAGTACATTTTCTTTTAGTTCAACTAACACATATAAAAGGCACATGCAAGCTTAAATGCATATTAAAGGAACGGCATTGTGCTGCATTTTACATTTATTATTGGCCCTTAAAACCTCACCTGGTGTTCATATTGGTGGGGTGCACTGGGACAGTGTGAAATATATAGGCATTTATTTTCTATCAAGAGCTAACCAAAGCTAATGGCATTATACGACCATGCAGGCCAAAATCATCAAGTGGGAAAAATATTAACTGTCTGTCATTACATTTAAGCACTTATCCTGTTCAGGGTAACAGGGAGGCTGGTACCAATCCTAGGCAGCAAAGGGCACAAGGCTGGGGTTCTCTCTACATAAGACAGCAGACCCTCACAGGGCACACAGATGCACATCTATGGGAAATTTAGACACACCAGTTACTCCAAGTGTGTGTTTTGGACTGTGAAAGGAACACCACTTAACACTGAGAAAAAAATGCAGGCAGAGAAAGCAGAGGACAGATTCTAATCCCCAATCCTAGAGGTGGGAGGTGACAGTGTGACCCCCCTGAGACTCCATGCCACCCTTGGTTATTTCAGCGCAGTTGTTTTGCTGTTCAACCTTCTCCACACAATCATTCGAAGCTGCTTCAGTTTCAGTCTATAAATGGCAGGGTTCAGGATAGGAGGAACAATGAGGTACATTATAGAAAGGCTGTTTCTGAGAGCTTGCAGGGAGGTGTCTGAGCTGAAACGTGCTGATATAAAATCTAAAGACACAGAAACAGCCAAGATACACAGTGTGATGAGATGGGGCAGGCAGGTCTCCATGAACTTATTA